CCCCCCCCACTGGCAAAGCGATGGTTTGTTGAGAAGGACCAGAGAACTAAATGTGGTGCTCAATGAAACAGTACTTTAACATCTGCCCCTTCTATTAATGCTTTGCCATCTGTTTATAAGGCAAGTGAGCCTCATCTCTTCTTTAGGAATAATCAAACAACTGCCAATTCTTTGGCAACAAATACCTCAAGCAAAATGCCTACTAAATGAACATCCTCTCAAAATGTAAAGTCCTTGGTTTAGTCATCAACTTTTCAAGACAGCTCCCATTGACCTTCTCAAGGGGTGGGTGGTTAACAGTCAGTGGAAAACACACTTCCGGAACAGAATATCTTTATTCCTACTTACGATGCTCCACCAAAACAAAGCTATCTTATTATTTTAGTTACAAAATTCTAAATCATGGGGACAACAGCAAGCAGATGAAATTCACATTCTATTCTTAGCCCCCACTCCATTTGTTGTTTTAGTTTTTTACATGCTCCCAAATAAAACACTTAGTGAAAGTATGAAACTTAAGACCCTCTAAGTATTAAAAATGGCACATTAGGTACTTTATGTACTGATACAAAGCAATCTTCAAGATCTATTGTTATGGGCAAAGTGCAGAGCAGTGAAAACTTTTTAAAAATGTATACTAGCTACTATTTGTAAAAAAAAAATCTATATTAATATACATTAGTATTTTTGTGTGTCTATATAAATGTATTATGCATTTGCTTATATGTGCATGCTTGGGAAGGATCCATAAGAAATGAGGAATGGTGGTTTCCTCCAGGAAAAGGAATCGGGTGGCTAAGAGACAGCCGTAGTTTGGAGATACAATAAGTCCTAACTTAACATCCTCAATTGGTTCTTCGACTTTAAGCAAAATGATACATAACAAAACCAATTTTACCAGAGGCTGATTGATATAAACAAGAGTTAAGTTCCTACATGACACATCAACACATTATAACAAAACCACGTTGAATGAACCAACGTTATTCAAGGACCTGCTGTATACCGTTGTTTAATCTTTTATATGTGAACCACAAGATGGTTCAAAATTATTAAATAGTTAAAAATGAAAAGGTGCATTAAAGCAAAAATAAACCTGTCAAAATGAAAATGTCAGTCTTTCTCAAAAGAGGTGAAAGCCCATGGAACTTGGGAATGCATGTGGCTGCAGCAGGAAATGTTAGGGACACATTAGGAAATCCACCTGTCAGAGAGGCGGGAGTGTCAGGTCAACAGCAACGTGGATCACTGCAGGGGTTCTGCCTGCAAAAAGAAACCTCGTAACTGTTCTGGGGAGATTCCCATTCCTTCTCCCTCCCCTTGGAAGCATTTACATTTCAGCCTCTGGCTGTTTCATTCTTTGGTTAAGATTTCTTTTAAAAGAATTTTTGAAACTTCTGTCAATAAATTACCCTTGTCATTCCTTGGAGATTGCCCAGACTCCCTCCACTGCTCCCTGCCTTCTTTTATATATATCTTAATCTCCTGCTCGATCTTCCCTTCACTTCTATCTCCTCTTCTTTCTATTTTGTTTTTACAATACTCTCAATCATTTTCCAGGGCCCAATTCCCTGATCCCTCCCCTTCTTGCTGGAAGCCCAGCCTTTCGTTGCCCGCTCACTTCTTCCATACTTTCATTTTGGTTCTGGGTGAAGGTCCTATAAGCAGGACCAGCCACATGATTGGCAGGGCCCATTGCAAAATGAAAATTGCTGAAAAATAATTAAGAATTTTAACACAGAGACAGGAACATTAGACCAAGTGCAGGGCCGTCCTGAGCACAGGGTGCTGACCTACGAGCCAGCCGTTTGCGGCGTTTACTGCTTTAATTTATTGTTTACTCACCACTCTCTAAACAATTTCAATCTGGCTCTGTCACCTCTAATGACTACTTCAACGTGCTTGATTTTGCCCAACACAGTCAATATATTCATAACCAAATAAGACATTGTTTTAATTGTTGTTCCTTTTCACCATCTTTTTTGCTGATCCTGAAGAGCGACATGAGACTCACTTGCAGGCCCAGCTGCCTTTGAGTGGATGCTTGGCTGTTTCTGCCATTCAGAGCCCCTCAAAGTCATGCTGTAGGTTAAAATGACAGGAGGTGCCTGCCCTAAAGGAGACCTGGAGGACAGGTAGGCTGAGTTACCCGGGCAAATGTACTATAAAAATCACCATTTAATATGCATTACTCAGGGAGTCGTTCAGGGTAAGTATTCAATAAGCAGAGACCAGTATTATTGGCTTGCTTGACCTCAGCTGAGAGCCAAGGTGCTGTCATAATGCAGGAGCACAGCTCTAGTTTAAGGAGTTTCCTTCCAGCTTTGAGGGTTCCCACCCGCTGCCCTTTAGGCATGGGCCATCGCCCACATCTTTCCTGCTGACCCCCTGCCCAAAGGTCCAGCCACCTACTTGTTGGTCTGCCTCTGGTGCTGGATGACCATGTTTTTCTCGTGGATGGTCTCCAACAGGGCCGTTGCCAGGGATTTCAGATCAGAAATGGACTGCGGAGTAGCTGGCAGGCTGCATCCGTGATCCTCAGATAGCAGGTCCTGAACTAGGGGGGATAGACCATTGACAAGTCAGTCTTAAACGCACCTGGAGCCCGGGAATGCAAACCCGTGTCAGCCCTTCCTGGACAAGGAGGGGGCCCAGCTTCTAAATGCTGCTGCGTTGCTCGGAAGAGTCCACTTCGAGGGTCAAAAGTACAACACAATTAAACTCGGTGTGCGGGTTAAACAGGAAGGAGGAAGCACTCGTGGACTTTTATCAACAGTTTTTAAAAGGGTAACAACCTGTTGCATTCGTCCAGTATTTTCCACTTTCAAAGAAACTTTCATACGGACTACTCATTTGAGACTTAAAATGAACAACAACGAAAATCCACCCGGAAAGTAGCATTTATCCTCAATTCATGGACAGGAAAGCAAGATGCAGCTGGATTAAAAACACTGGCTGGCGGTCACGTGGCCACGCTGATGACAGTGACTCTAATCCTTTACATCAGGGTTTCCCAGCGCGGTGCCTTTAGTGGGTAGCAAGACAATTTAGGAGATTGTTTAAACTACAAAATGTGTTTTGTATATGCACGTTTTAGAAAGGAGATTGTTTAAACTACAAAATATGTTTTGTATATGCACATTTTAGAAAGGGTAAACTAAGGGATTACACAAAGTGGGCCAGTCGAGCGTGTTCAACCCGAGGCTTACATTTTCTGTCGAGTACTCCCACTGGACAGAAAAAAGGAAACAGTATAAAATCACTATATGCCTATAGGTAGATATACAAATTCAGACAGTTTTCTTCAACAATGGGAAAAAGCTCTGCTTTTTTCACTTAACCTGATGCTGCATCCTGAGTATCTCCAAAAGCAAAATGTAACAGCTGCTTAGTAGTTCATGTAGAGATAAATAATGATAATAAATATGTTGTTTCCAATGGTTTTTATTACAACTAATGTGGGAAGAGCTTTCTTGCAGCAAAATGTTTGCATGGGTCTGAAGTTATCCGTTAAAGGCATTTCATAATAGGGTGCCAAATGGTTATCTAGGAAGGTTGCCCAGATTTACTGCTCGGCGGTGGTGTTTGAGCGTGACTGGCTTTCCCCACAGCAGTGATAAAGCTGGGTCTCAGCTTTCAAAGATGCTATGCTGTCAAGAGTGTTCGAAGCTAAACACAGACGGGCTACTTCCCATTTCTATAGATTATTGTAGTTTTCTTTTTAAAAAACAATTCTAGTGTGTCCTTTCCTAGTGGAATAAAGAAAAGAAGCTGCCCGGAAAGGGGCTGTAGCTGTTAGGTAAGCCGAGATGCAGCCTTTTTTTAAGCCACGCGTGCTCTGATTAAGGCTGCCATCTGATTGTTGCTGTCTGCACTGCCAACAGCCGGAAAGTGGGCCAGTCGAGCATGTTCAACCGGAGGCTTGCGTTTAAAACTGAATTCCCAAATAGCAAGTATCAGAAGCAAGCTCTCTGCTGTTGACTCCCCTGGACTGTTCCTGGAAGATCACTATTTTTCATTGGAATCGACAAGAAGGAGAAACAAAATTGCAATCAATAAAAGCTTCTTTGAAAAAGGCACATGTTCCATAATAAAATGATTTCAGCAGCTGGGAGACTTCTATTCAAACAGGCCAGGAAAAAGGGAAATTCAATGAGGTTGAAACATGTACTCGGAGATGCTAAGCTGGTGATCAGAGAAGGGACCACATTCTTGAAAGAAGAGCACAGTGCAGGGGAAGGGACACAAATAAGGGCTAGTTAGTTATTAGGAAAATCTCTAAGGCAGAGGGGTTTTTTGGGTCTGTTTATTTGTTTTGTTTTAAATACATTTTTATTGATTTTTAGAGAGAGGAAGGGAGAGGGAGAAAGAGAAACATCGATGAGAGAGAAACATCAATGGGCTGCCTCATGCACACCCCCTACTGGGGATGGAGCCAGAAACCCAGGTGTGTGCCGTGACTGGGAATCGAACCTGTGACCTCTTGGTGCACAGCGTGATGCTCAACCAACTGAGCCACACTGGCCAAGGCTAAGGCAGAGGTTCTTAAAGCAGGGCCCCCAAACCAGCATCAGCATTACCTGGGAACTTCTCAGAAATGCAGATTCTCAGGGTCTATCCCAAACCTACTAAAACAGAAACTTGGGGGGGGTGTCCAGTAATCTGTGTTCTGATGAGCCCTCCTGGGAATTCTGATGCAGGCGGCAGTTTCTAAGGATCAGTTCGGTTCCCAGGACACAAGACGAGATGCGACTGACAGCTCTAGCGGTCTGTGATCCTAAGTGGTCCACCCGGAGAGTGAGGAGCCCTACCTTGCTTTGCAGAGAGGACTCCCGTCAGAGCACTGCTGCTGGATTTACCCTGGCCTTTTGTGTTTTTCCGTCTCTCAAGAGCATTCTAAAGCAGCATTGGGAGAAAAATGAAAACCTCTGTCAGAAGAGCCAATAATGGGAAAATACCCAGTTACGGTTAGACGCATCCTCCCAATTCAGCACAGCAGAACCCGCGGCAAACTCCAAATGCTGGCCCACCTGTTTAAGTTCTGAGTCCCTGCCAAAGGGTTCAGATCTTTATGGACCCGATAAAGAGGTTTTTAAAGAGTTGGTGCCTGGCAGAATGACAGCATTTACCCTCTCCCAAACATAAAAGGCACTCAATGAACGTTGGTTAAATTATCAGATCTCAGTCACTGATTAAGAGAACCTCTTTGAGTAGACATGAGATGGAGAACAGGTTAGCTTTCATGTGCCAAGGCCCAGAAGTCATTAGTGGCATTTGGAAGGAATCTGTGGCTGGACTGGGAAAAAAAGCCACAATCAATCAGCGATACCTGCCATGAACACAAGAAAGGGAAATACCTATGTGGCATGGCACCTAAATGTCATTCCTAGAAGGGACTCTTACATTAAAATTGAAACGCTATAGAGCCGGTGCTTGGCACATAGAAGAACTGAATAAATGTTCTTAAATGAATGCATACTGACATATTTTTAAATTATGTATTAATTATACATCTTTAAAAGCTGCAATCTTTTTTGGCTGCGTGGGTGTATATATAGACTGGTATAAACTAAAGTGTGACCCCCACACACCAGAAAGAGGGAACAGCATGGAGAGTTCTGAGAAAAAGCCCACGTCGAGAGCCAGGAAAATGAGAAGGGTCTCTCTCTCTCCCAAGCACCTAGACTGCCATAAAACTTCACCCTCAGAAGGAGAAATCAATCTATTTTCAAAGCAGAGAAACTCAGGAGATTTCTCTAATGATAACACTTACAAGTAACATCTGCAGAAATAGATATTATCAAACTAATGGAGCTGGAATGAGACAGAGTAACAGCGGGGAAAATTTAGACATTCTGTCCTTTCAGGGTGACGTGAACATGATGGTCTGGATGGTGATTTTTCCTAATCTTTGTTTTTTATTGGCTCAGAAACCATTTTCTTATGGATGATTATGAGACAAATAGCATCTGATGACAGAACATTGTCTAGCAAAGCCCATGTCGTAAGGACCCAGGCTGCAAAGGGGCCGCGTCCGGATTCTGGGGTCTCCGTGCACCCTGTCCTGATAACAGCAACACCAGAAGCTCTCCCCAAAGCTGTTTTGCTGTTTCGGGTTTAATTCTCATGGGCTACCTCAGTCCAAGCTCCTTTGGGCCTCTCCCTGGGAGGGCAGGCAGGCACTAACATATCTTTGGCACATAAAAGAAAATTAAACAGGATGGCATTTAGACGTACAATAGCCATGGCTCTGCTACCTTGTATTTGGCAATGTTAGACTTCAAGAGGTTGACCTCTTCATGAAGTTGCTTCAATCTCTCTTGAAGGTACCTGGAAAAAAACACAAAACAACTAGATAGTGTTTGGGGGCAAAATAAAAAACATACACTCAGATAGGAGGGGAGAAAAGAAAAGCACATGCCTGAAGAGCCATTTTTTACATATAATGCCTTCTCCCCACCGAAGGGAGGGGAAGGAAAGAGCCTCTGTGTGACCTCTGCTTAAGTGGATGCGATCAAGGTCAAATATGCCCAAATCACAGAAACCCCACTTCAGAAGAGCCCTGTGCAGAGATCCCCTAAGGGATAGCCACACGGTTTTCACATAATTCTCATTAAGATGATTCCACTGGGAGGGGAGGCGGGAAGAGGCGACGCCAGACATAACATTGAGTTAGACACATACACACACTGAAATTCGCCTCGGGGAGCAGAAGCAGCTCCGGGAATTTCTCAATTTATTTCCTTATTCTTTCCTCTCTCCTTGACAGCAGTCACAAGCAGCTTTCACTGGTTCCCTGCGCTCGCCCAACTGGGGGCAGAGAGAAAGGGGCACACGTGGGCGTGTAGGTGTGCGGTGCTTCTTTTCTGATGTTTACGACTAATCATCTGTGACACGAATACCATTGTTTGGGGGTTGTGACTTTCCTTTCACTGTGAGGCAATTTTCTCAAATGTGAACAGGGCTGCAAATAGCTCCCGGCCTGCCAGCCGGTGGGGAGCCAGCATCCTACCCGCCTGCAGGCCCGGGCCCGGCCACCTGCCTGTTCTCCATACACAGGGCGTCCACGTCGATGATGCGGTTCTCGTGGCCGCCCAGGATGTGGTTCAGCTCCTGGTTGAGCCTCTCCACTTTGTCCTGGTAGGAGGACCGCTCTTCTTTCACATCCTGAAGCTCATCCACAGACGCCTGCAGGTCATGCTCCAGGGACTCAATCTGAAACCAGAGGAAGCGCCCTTACTCAAGATGTTCTTCAGACAGCAACCGGCTTTCCGGCCAGAGATGGAGCCTTTTGCGTGGCTGACTGACTTTTAGAGAGCTTATTAATACCAGCGCATGCTATAAAATCGTAAGAGCCACTCACTGGAATACAATTAAAGCTAAAAGGAAGGGGGCGACGTCCTGCCAGACACTCTATCTGAGGCAGGAGGGGTGCACCAGTTTGGAAAACAACTGATCCCTTACCAAGGGCGGCGTGCCCTAAAATCAGAGGCTCCGAGAGGGCAAACCTGACGCTGGCAACAGCAGCCAGTGTCTAACAAACACACGCTTTTTCAACCCACTCTAGACCCAGAAATCTTGTTCTGCTCTTCAAAACCAATTAGCAAGAGGAGGAAAGCAAAGTCTAGGCTCTCTTAGCTGTTCCCTAACTAGGGCTCTACCCATTGAGATTTTGCCTAAAAAACACTGCTCAGCATTTGAGCGGAAACTTGCAAATTAAGGCCAGTTTGTCACGTTTTGTTCTCTCCTTGTCTATCCTGGGTACGGGGGGAGTTTCTTGTTGTGCTCAGAGCATTGGTACCAAAAGTAACAGAGCAGACCTGCTGGAAGCCAGATGCACACAGGCGGCTTGGGAACCTGGTGGAGTACCAAGGACGGAAAAGCTCTGGGCTCGGATCCTCCTTACCCCCCCGCCCGACTCGCATCCCAGACACCCCACACCCTCTGGGCAACGGGGACACAGCCCACTCTTCTCTGTGATGTGTCCAGCTGTGCAAATCCATCCCTGCTTTGAACAGATGTTAGCAATAACCTGTTCCTTCGCCCTCTCCAGCTGCTGAACCAAGTCTTCACGCTCATGGGCTGCAAAGTGCCGCACACCGATTTCTTCATCTCCAAGCCTCTGTTTGGCGATTGTCATCCTCAAGAGCTGTATTTTCCATTAGTAGGAAAAAGAGAGAGAGGGAGAGAGAGAGTTAAAAAGAATAGATTTTCTAAAAAAACCCCAAAACCCAAGCATACTAGGCAGAAAGTTTTGAAAGGTTTTCAAGAGATGCCAGGAATAAAACAAGACAAAGTCATTTCTTACAATATCATGAGTTTTTAAAAAATATATTGTAGCCCTGGCCAGTGTTGCTAAGTGGTTAGAGCACTGGTCCGTGCACTGAAGGGTCTCGGGTTCGATTCCCAGTCAAGGGCAGGTACCTGGGTTGCAGGTTGGCTCCTCACCCAAGGTCCGGGTACATGGGGGAGGCAACCAGTCAATGTGTCTCTCTTACATCGATGTTTCTCTCTCTTCTCTCCTCCTCCCTCCTTCCCTTCCGCTCTCTCTGAAAAGCAATGAAAAAAATATCCTCAAGTGAAGATAAATAAATAAAATACTGTATTTACCCATGCATGCCCATACATGTGTGCATGCATACTTGGTCTAAGGCTATAGGAACACAGGCCTGGGCATCTGAGGGGCATTTGTGTAGTATAGCCATGGTGAGGAAACCAACTCTGGGTTTCTTTTAAACTTAGCAAACATTTAAAAAAATGATATCACATGCTGAGATAAGCATGCTTCCACATTCCTAGCAATGAGGCTCTATTATCAAGAGCCTTAAAAATGTCCCGACCTAATGATCCAGTAACTTTACTTCTGACAGTCTGGGCTAAGAATAATCCCAGACAGGGACTAGCTTTAGGAAAAAAGAAAAAGTATATTGCACTTTATTTATAGAAAGAGTAAAACCACTAGAAACAGCCTCTAACAATAGTGGGATTGCTAGAAAACTATAAGGCAATCAATTAATGGGCTACCTTGTAGCTGTTTTAAATAAGGGCAATGTGAACTATGTAATCCCACTGACGTGTTTCGAATGCCACATTAAATGGAGGGAAAAGAAGAATACCAACTTCTATATGCAGCAGGACTAAAATTATACTGTGAATCCATCAACAAAAGAAAAAAATTACCAAATATATCAAAATACTAAAATGTGTCTGTTTAGGTGATGGTGAGACTGTGTATGTGTGTATGTGCATATGCTATCTGTTCTTTCTTTTAATTTTTAAGTTTTTTTCAATTATAGTGTACATTCAATATTACATTGTATTAGTTTCAGGTGTACAGCACCGTGGTTAGACAATCATGTACTTTACAAAGTGGTCTCCCTCCATATTTCCAGTACCCACCTGGCGTCCTAATAGTTATCACAATATTATTGACTATGTTCCCCACGCTGCACTTTACAACCAGTGACTGATTTGTAACCACCAATCTGTACTACCTAATCCCTTCACCTTTTCACCCAGTCCCCAAGCACCCCCCCTCTGGCAGCCATCAGTCTGTTCTCTGTGTCTGTGAGTCTGTTTCTGTTTGTTTGTTCATTTACCTTGTTCTTTAGATTCTACATATCAGTGACATCATATGGTATTTGTCTTTCTCTGACTGACTTATTTCACTTAGCATAATATCCTCTAGGTCCATGCTGTTGCAAATGGTAGAATTTCATTCTTTTTTTTAATGGCTGGGTAATATTCCACTGTGCATAAGTACAACTGCTTTTTTATTCACTCATCTATTGATGGGCACTTGGGTTGCTCCCATCGCTTAGCTATTGTAAAGTGCATATATTCTTTCGAATCAATGTTTTGGGTTTCTTCAGATTCATTCCCAGAAGTGGAGTCACTGGGTCAAATGGCAGGCCCATTTTAAATTTTTTGAGGTAACTCCATACTGCTTTCCACAGTGGCTGCACCAGTCTGCATTCCCACCAACAGCAAACAAGGGTTCCTTTTTCTCCACATCCTTGCCAACACTTGCAGTTTTCTAACTTTTAAAATAAGAATGTATGACTTTCATAACATGTTTATTTACATGTTTTTAAATCCTTAGGGATATAATTCCAGTCTTCAGAAATGCAATTTTCCAAAAGATCCCCACAGAATTCATCGCTTCCCCAGACTGCAGCGCCAAGCTTCACCTGCAGCGCCAAACCTTCCCCTTCCACCGCTGGTCCCAGAGGACCCCTTGTGTTCCCATTAGTACCAAGCAGGTTGCCATGAGAGGGACTTTTTAAAGTTGCGGTACGGCTTCCAGATGCTTCTTTTAAAGAGGTTGTAAGCCTGACTCCCCCACCTCCCTGTAGGGTGTGTGGATGGGCTTCATATACAATGAGGTCCTGGGGACTGCTTTTCCCTGTCCCACAAATCCAACTCAGCCAGCAGTGTCTGCTTGGGGCACACTTTTCCTTGTCGCTTCTTGAATCTTGAGGGATTTGTTGCCAGTAGAGAAAATGGCTTTATTTTCAAGTCTCCGAAGGATTTAGGAGCAGGTGAGAGATAGAAAGTTGAAAGGTGAGGTAGAATATTCACTAGATTGAAATAACAACAAACTTTGAAAAGAAATGACAACTGGAGAAAAGTGAAGAGCATTTTCCAATGACATCGACTTGGGGTCCTTATTTAAAAACTACTCGGTTGAATTGGACATGTATTTATTGGGCACCTACTATGTGCTAAAGCATCAGTGGGATTGGGCGAACCATGTTCCAGGCAGCAGAACGGCTTATGGAAAGACCTGGCAGAGGCTGTACACAGACAGCTGTGCTTGACGGAATCTGATCACAGTCGAGCCGCATTAGTCAAGGACTCTGTATTTTCAAATTTGCCCAAATTTATTTGTAACCTCAAAATAAACACCCGTAGCACTTCCAAATCCCGCACCGGCATGGGTGAACAAGCGCAGAGTTGCAAAAACTGTGAACTGTCCGTCAGCCTGGCTCCCAGCTGAGGCTGAACGAGGCGCAGAACTCTGCTCTCTACGCAAGTGTCCTTTCCATGGTCTATTTGGTGCTGCATTTTCCCACATTTTTATGCTTTTTTTGATTTTTGCTGTTTAAAACGGCCGCCGTGCATAATGCTGAAGTGCAGTCTAGTGTTCCTACACACAAGAAGGCTGTGATGTGTCTTACCAAGAAAATATGCATGTTAGCTAAGCCTCAATCAAGAGTGAATTACAGTGCAACTGGCTGTGAGTTCAATGTTAATGAATCAACACTATACATTAAATAATGTGCATACACAGAAAACAAAATTATGTACTGACCCTTTGACAAAAATGTTGTGACCAGAGGCTCACAGAAACCTGTCAGCTGATGTTGGCACCAGTTCAGTGATAATAGGAATCCCCAATTTGGGGTGTGGTGAAGAAGGAAACTATTCAGTGCAAACCACTCGCTTGTGATACTTCAGGGCTGGGAGAAACTGCTCTCCCCCCCTCAGCCAGAGGGGAGCTGACTTATATAGACAGAAGTCCCAGCCCTGGTCCCCAATTGGTCAGTCCTCATGCAAATGAGGACTCCAAATCTTCAAAGTTTGATTGGTCCAAGAAGCACACTCTGATTGGTCAGTGAAAATGCTAACGGAGCTATAGCTGTTCAGCTGATTGAACAGGGAAGGCCTCAGTTCTATTTGTTGAAACGGCGCTTCAGGAACCCCCGTTTAAGGGCTGGCTCCGATGGCAGGGACACAGTGCAAGAGCAGGCGGTTTAGTGCAGGCTTCTCCCTAAAGTATGGCTTGGGTGAGAGTCCCCTGTTTACAAATGGCTGCTAGGCTCTGCTTTCAAATTTGAGTCCAGTTAGCCACAGGAGCCCTTCTTGGCAGGTATCTTCTTTCTGAGGGCTGAAAAACCTAACCCTGTATTTTCCCTAGGAGCAGTAGTTCAGTATTTGTTAATGCAGTGTTTGCAGCAACTTTAGACTATGATAAATAATGAGAATCAGCTGTATTGGGCTTGGCGGGTATGAGGGTAGAGTTTGTAGCAGCACTGGTTAATTCAACGGAAAGCTGATGTATGAAAATTCTTTCACATTACACAATTGCTTGTCTCAGGACTATCAGAACCCTAAGTGGATATACAGAAAGACAAACAGCTAACCAAATAATAAATTTTTCTCAATTCAAAAGTCTAGGAATAGGTAGGCTTCTGCCTTTTGTGGTCTGAGGCAACAGGAGGGCTGAGGCCTGACTTTGAAAGTGGGGCTCTTTTCTTGATATATGAAAAGCCAGACTGACAGCCTGAACTTTAAGTAATAAAACACTACTGTGGCTTCCCATTCACAATCCACTTCACTGAACACTTAATTTAGAATCACACGATTATGTTTGCTTAATGCCAATTAATTATTAAACATGTTTATTCAGGTCTGACAGCCATATAAGAGAGTCATCTTTTATATACTGGATGCCTGTTAAGCTTCAATAAATATGTTAACAATCATTTGGTGTTTAATGTGCATACAATATCGGCTATTAAATCTCAGGGCTAGATGGTTGAAACACTTATTTTTAAAGTGAGGCCCAAGTTGGTAATAGCTAGATCATTAGCTGGGTCTGACACTCAGGTGCAATCAGCCGAAGGGACCCAAGGAGGCCACCGCAGCAGGAACAGCAGGGCCCAGCAAGAGGTCTCCTGCCTTCCCAGCTGACAGCTCATAGGCTCTGGGGGCGCTCTGCCAAGGGGTTCACGTCCTGGCTCCACAGTCTGTGAGCTGTGCAGCTTCAAGCATGTGCCTTAATGTCTCTGAGCCTTAGTATCCTTCACTGGAAAAATATGACAGTAATAGCATAGCTTTTTACTGTCAGGTGACAGAAAGTAGAGTTGCATTAAATGCACATTCAACTTAAGACATTCAAATACATGTGTTTGGCAATGAGATGGGGGGCAGAAAAAGAAGAGTAAGAGAGAGAAAGAAGAAAGGCTGAAATAAAAATTTGAAAAACTGGGTGGCTTTAGCAGCCCTGCTTTCAGTGTCCTAGGCTGAGAGATGGGCAAAATCATACTGTTCATATTTATACTTAATACCACTGTTCAGGTGTATACAACCACGTGCCCTGAAACTTATGGACAAATTAGGGTCCTTCGAGGGGAATGTTGACTA